ATTACGACACCGAAAATTTCATGCCAATTTTCTTATAATGTTTAGAATCAAACCAAAATTTTAGGGTAGTTTTATACATATATTTACTTCAAAAATCAAAAGAAAAGTTAATCGATGGAGCCTTGAGTGTAAAATTGAACGCATTTTCGCTTGATCCATCTTCCATCAAAGTCTTTACAGTGTCATCCGGTACCAGTTTCTCAGTTTTTTTTTTTTCATTTTCTTAACATGTCCTTCTCGTCTTTGACTGTCTTCTTGCTCTTCCGAAGTTCCCGCTTCATTATTGCCCAGTACTGCTCCACCGGGCGCAGCTCCGGACAGTTTGGCGGATTCATGTCCTTTGGAACAAAATGGACAGAATTGGCCTCATACCACTCCAGGACACTTTTAGAATAGTGGCATGATGCCAAATCTGGCCAAAATAGCGGAGCTTCGTCGTGCTGCTGCAAGAACGGCAAAAGGCGCTTCTCGAGACACTCAAATTTGTAGATCTCGCCATTTACTGTGCCCTTTGTCACGAAAGGCTCACTCCTCAGTCCGCAAGAGCAGATGGCCTGCCAAATGAGATATTTGGAGGCAAACTTCGACATTTTTTTCTTCTTAAATTTGTCGTCCACATCGAACTTGCTCTTGCCGGTGAAAAACTCCAACCCCGGAATTTGCTTAAAATCGGCTTTTATATACGTTTCGTCGTCCATCACACAGCAGCCATATTTTGTCAGCATCTTCTCGTAGAGCTTCCGTGCCCGAGTTTTAGCCGTCGATTGTTGCCGCTCATCGCGGTTTGGGAAGTTCTGTACCTTGTATGTATGTAGTCCAGCTCTCTTCTTTGCATTCTGGACGTAGCTCTGCGACATGCCGATCTTTTTAGCCAAATCACGGCTTGAGACGTTGGGATTTGCTTTAATCATCCGCTTCACCTTTCCCTCCGTCTTTTTGTTCTCCGGTCCCGGTTTTCTTCCAGCTCCTTTGCCGTGGTCCAACGTCAACCGCTTCTGGAACAGCTTCAACACTCTGGAGACGGTTGAATGGTGAATGTTCAACATTTTTCCCAACTGCCGGTGCGACAGGTCAGGAAATTCCAGGCGTTTTGAAAGAATTTGTTCTCTCAACTCGCGTTGGTTCACCTCCATTTTCGTTGAATCGAAAATCACGACTTCGAGTTTGACAGCATGTACACAATACACATCAATGAGAAAGTGTGCAAAATTTGGTTGATTTTTACCCAATTGTGAAAAAGTTATGCCCTGTTGAATGTGTCGCAATAATTTCGTGTTCGCCCTTTAACCTGGCACCGGCACAGGTTCTTCCATAATATACAAGCTATTTGAAAGGCTCAGGATACACTTGGGCTTACTTTGTTTACATACAAAACTGACGTCTAATATGAGAAGCATATCGACAGTGAGTATGCAAAAGGGCGTATACGCGATGATCGATTCTCTTCGTCGATTTTCTCTTTTGTTAATAACTCGCCAGATTCAGGTTTTCTCGGTGCGTTTGCTGTTGCTTTTGATAGCCAATACAACCTGTTAATACTCTGTATTGAACAAATTCTAGAAAAAATTTTCGCTTATCTGTAGCAATCCAAAGAGAAAATCGATGAAGAGAATCGATCATCGCGTATTCGCCCTTATGCATGCTCACTGTCGATATTCTTAAAGGGAGTAAACGGAGTAAGCAGAGAAAAAAAAATCGATGAACGTCGATTAAATATTGAGGTACATTGAGTTATTCGCGGGTTACTTGATGCAAAAAAGCAACTCAGAGTAAACCTGACTCACCCCTGGGCATAGACCAAAACAGAAAAACTTCAATAACTCAGTAATCTTTGAGATTTTATAATAGGCGTAGATTTTTTTTTACTTCAAATATGACCTTCTATCACTCCTTAAATTATTTTCACTAAAGGAACCGAACACCCTGTATATATCGGTTATTAAACATTATCTGAAAGGGCTTTTCTGAGCACAACGAAATTTTTTTCGATCCCACTTAAAGATTTTAAGTAAAATAATAACTTCGCTTTTTGACACTATACTAACAAATTGACTTTTTTTTATATATAGTCACTTTAACACTCTAGGGTCATTCGTGACTTGTCCGGGGTGAGAGTTGAACTCGTGACTTTGGCGTGAGAGGTATTGATGTTAACCACTACGCCGGAGTCGCCCCACCAAATTGACTGTTTTCTCCCATAAAACATCACCTCTGAGGGGCGCTATGATGGTATTGCACTTATTCATAATAGTTCCAGTGGACCAAAATTTATGAAATGTAGAATTTTGGATCCATTTTTAAAGCAGTTTACAAATATGCATTTTCCTCAATACCTCTAAAGATCCTAATTCTTAACACATAACATAATTTCCCGAAATTTTACCTAGTGACTGTTCGGCCCAAACACTGGTACTCGATATGATAACCAGTTAGCATATTTTTGAAGTTCTATTGATTTTATCATCAACATCACAGAATTCAAAAGCTCTACACTTTGACATATCGAGTTACCGAATCAAAAAAACACAAAAATACACGGTTAGAAAAAAGTACCCAAAATTAAGTTTTTTTCACTCATCTCGGCACTATAGTAAAGGAACCCAACAGTAGGTAAAGCGGGTCAAAGTAAATTTCATTTACTTGTGTGCAATTTGTATGGAATTTTCCACTGGCTTTTTAACCAACAGTAGGTAAATATGATTATACTCAACGTTGGGTTCCCACACTTTACTACCCTTGTTGGGTGGTTTTGCTCCTCCGTTTTTGACAACATTAGAAGGAGAAAAGGAGACAAACTAGTCAAAAGTAGGTAAAAGTCAACTTTCCGTTGGGTGCTTTTTTCTTACCGTGTAGATCATCGACCAAAGGAGACATCGACTTGTAGAAATATCGACTTATGGAGGGTACGAAACATAAACAAATGAAGGGACCGCATAATCCATCGAGTATTCGAATATCGAGTTGTGGAGAGTTGACTGTAGGAGGGGGGGGGGGTATATGGGGTTTTTCCGTTAACCAAATTTTCCCATCACATTCATTAAGGCAACAAAATAGTGTGATGAATAATGATAATATATAAATAAATACCCGAACTGCTGTTACCTGTACCCGACCCAAACCCACCGTACGGTATGGGTCACCTTTCGGATAAAAATACTCGTACCCAACCATTTCCAGTTTGCTGGAGAAAATAGCATCCAAGGTGGACGACGGGAAGCTTTCATAGACAATGCCCTTGAAAGAAAGTTAGTAATAGAAAACAGACAAGTCATTCCGCTTCAACCCTGACAACTGCCATCGGTTGATCGAATTCACACTCTGGCCTCTCAACTCAACACAGTGCACCGGTGGGGGTGGGTGGCAACAACGGCAAACAGCGGGAAGAACCGGAACCGGAAACCGGCAAGTCGACGACACTGACGATGACAGAACGCCCTGCAAAGCCAAGCAGCCCAGGACAGCAACACATTTGCATGTGTGAAAAAGTGTCCCCGTCGAATCAATGCCTTTGTCGGGTGTCGTCGGTGGTTGGTCTTGACTCCCCCGCGAGCGCACCGGCACATGCGATTATAAATGCAAATCTAAATTAATAACATTTATCTCGTTCGCAATTCCCATCTATTAAACGTTTTGTGTTCCATTCCGAGGGCGCACAACGGCGACGAATCCTGCCCTGGCTGGAAACTCTTGGACGGAAATGTGTGCGTCACCCGGTCCGTCGCGTTTGCATGTATGTATGTATGTATGAATGTATGCATTGTGTGAACATGGGTGCTGAATAAATTACGCCCGTTTCGAAATTCAAACACGAATCTCGCGAGTACCTTGCACGTGAATACAATTATTATTATTTCGTTCGCTTCTCGGTCTGGTTCCTGTTGGAGTATGTACCCAGGAACCCTCTACGGTAGGATTCGCCACACCTGGCGCTCTAAAATCCGGGTGACGACGGTGGTGGCATCGGGTTTATGTATGAGATTAACATTAATTTTCACGACTGAAAATTTGTTTTAAATAATGAATTTTGAACTCTATGTTGAAAGGTGGATTTTGAAATATTATCATTTCGTGAAGTTTTTTTTTTTATTTTAATTTTTTCACAGCTCGGGTTTGATAATACCACGTGCGGTCACAATCCTTGCCCAGAGGCGAAAATCCTAGCAACTCGATTTGAATTTCATGATACGTATGCATGAGAATGTGATTACCGCTTGTTGAGCTTGGCTTTTCCAACGAGCGCGGGAAATGTTTGAAATGATGAATGAAATTATTAAATTAATTACCACAGTGCCGCCGTGCAGACTCCAAACAATTCGTTTAACAAACCGGAAAATTGTTCCTTCTACGTTTCGTGGGTTTGAAGTAATCAGAGTGAGCGACGACTGTTTTGGGTTGCTATATAGGGAACCACAGCAGGCTGTGAGAAAAATGCATCCGATCGCAGGAATTATTTTGGTGTTTTGGTAGCTTCAGTTTTATTGCCAAATATCTTGGTGAAGTCCAGGTATAAATATGCAAAAACAATTACACTCGATAGAGAACCAAACGACAAACGTAGTTTCTTAACTATTTCGCTATAAATAAGAATGCTGCGGATTTTTGTTGTTGCTTCCTTTCTTTTCTCAAATCAAATTCTTCTCTGTCAATTTGTTTGTTGCTCCACTCGATTTTTTGAAATGCAATTGAAATCTTACCGTGACTAGCTTAGCAAAACGAAAATATAGTAAACATAAACAGCAAAAAAAATAAACGCAAAAACACTCGATTTGTAGAAAGCCGTGCACTCCTATGGATGTGGACGCGCTTTTCCGTTGAGCTTACAGTTACTAACCGTATTCTATCCTCTATTCTTAGGTGATATGTTTGGTTATAAGAATGATTGTTTTTTCCCTTAGTGCGACTAAATCTATTCAACTTAAGCTAAGAGTTTTCGATGAAAATATTTTTGTTTTTGCTCATTTCTCTTTGATTTGAGTTTCGATTGTTGTATTAAGTACCCCGTAAGCTACTAGCACCGTACTCTACACTAGTGTTCCCATATTAGTCAGGTCATCGTCCGGAGGTTTTGTGGGCCCTTCCAGACCATGGTGCTTCATCGGTTGTGCGTAGATTGCTGAATTGAACAGCTGCTTCGGACAGATCTTATCGTCCAGCATGGTGTTGCAGTTGTTTCCCAACTTGCTGTTGCTTTGAATGAATTTGTTGATCTGGTGAACGGAAATTTGAGCAACTGTACTTTGAGCCGTTACTGGAAACCGTTGGCTTCGAGGAAGTGTGTGAGAAACCGGCTGTTGTTGCTGCTGATGTTGTTGTTGCTGCTGCTGTTGTAGCTGCTGCTCATTAATCGTATACAGAGGGTAACTGTTCGGAACAGGAGATATGTTCTGGAGTGGTCCGGCAGCTTCCGCCGCTGGACCCATCCTTCCGATACTGAGCACCGGATTTGGTTGTGAAAAGTCCATGATTACGTTGGCTTGCAACTCTTGATCTTGAAGTTCATCTTGCAGACATTTCAGCAGGCAAGACTTCTCCCTCAAAACCATATCGGAATGTTTCAAAGTCTCATCGATCATTTGAAGTTCGCTCTCACTCTTCTCCAGGTTTACGTTCACCTTGGACAAATTATCCTCAATCTGAGTTTGCGACTGATTCGGAATGTCCAGCTGATAGCGTCGGATTCGATCGTACAGCTTCACCGCCGTTTCTTCCTCCTTCACAATCTGCTTATTCAACTGCACAATCTTTTCCAGCATATTGATCTGCTCCTTGATGCTTCCATCCTTCTCCACCGATGTAGTCGGTGATTCGGCGTCCCGTTCGATGCAAGATTCGATTTCGGGGGATGCTGCGGTGGTAGCTTCTGAGGTGACGCCACTGTCACCGGTGTTGCGATCGACTTCCGTCGTTTCCGGTAGCCCTTTTAGGTAAGTTTCAAGGAGGTAGTTTTTCCCGTGTGCTCGTTCGCGAACTCGGTGTCGGTCTTCTTCGATTTTGCTGATCTGAAGCTCGCGATCCCTAGAATAGTAAAGACAATTGGATTATCAATGAAGGAAATCATAGCGACCAAACCATTAGTTTAAGATTATGTCAGCCAATCTTTTGATGTGAACGATATAGGAGTGGTTAATTCAAAGATTTAAATAAACCCTCCTAGCTTTCTCACAATAGATGTGGCGTTTGATTTGCTCAAATAGCTCATATACAATATGCAAGAAACAGTTATATTTTTCACTCTCTAAATCTTCCATTGAGAGTCCCGTTAGTAGAATCAACGACGAACTGACATGACACTGGAGTATTTCGTTTGCCCGCAAATCTATTTGTCAAACGAGCGATTTGATATGTTAAAAGGGCGATCAGACCTGTCAAACGAGACAAATCTTTGCTCATGAAACGACGCGATCATTGAGTTAATGGTGATAGTGTTTAACATATTTTAAATATGGAACAGCACTTTTCAGTGCTCAACCTGCAAAACTTCTACCTTGTTTGACGCTTATTCATCTTCAATCATTGTTTGGACCCTACCCGTGGTAATCCTGCTTGAACACCGATTTGGAAAATTCCTCTTCGATCCTTCGGACTCTCATAGTAATCTGCTTGTAAGTTGATTTGGAGAAGCTTGGTTCTGCCGTCATGTCTAACGCAAAAGAAAAAGGCAATCGTTTGATCCCCCTTCTGATGAAATTAAATTGAGCAATCAATTTGATATGCTTACGGATGACGAGAATGATTCATCATCCAGACAAAATTCCATTAAACATTCCCGGCTTAATGTCAAAAAGGAAAGGTTCCCCCTATTGTTGTAACCACTTCCGATTTCCATGCTCTTCGCTAGGAATATTTGAACTTCTTTCAATTTATGTTTTCACTCCAAATTGGCCGCCGGGCTGAGAAGCAATACACATTTTTTACTTATGACACCAACACTGAACGTCTGTTCAAGGTTTTCTTGAAAGGTCTGCTCAATGGTGAATCCCAGGGTCAGATAAAAGATGAATTGACTAAATTACTTGGCGTTGAGCCTGTCCAAGAAATCAAAATGAAAATGAAATCCCGTCCCGTCGATTCGCGCAACGGGATTTCTAATGATTTTTATTTAGTTCACTTCAAGTCTTGTGAACCAAACAACCTTAAGGTCTTAGAAAAGGCTAGCCTTATGCTCCTTGTCCGAATAAACCTTACCCAGTGTCGTAAGTGCCAGGGATGGGTTCACGGAACCAAAGATTGCTACATGCCAGCTAAATTCATGAATTGTGGTAATTCCTCTCACGCATTTAAATTTCATAGGATCCTAAGAAATTTAAATGTTCAAATTGTGGTGAAAACCACAAATCAATTTTTTTTTAATGTTAGACTCACAAAGCGTACAATCTCGTTCTAAGCGACAGATAGGAAACGCTCCACGCTTCAATAAGTGCATTCCTTAAAGGATTAACGATGTGAAGTGAAGTTGATCACCAATCCGCACAATTTTCGTTTCTCAGCAATTATTTCTCATGTTTTAAAATAAGTAGTATGCAGTATTTCATTGAGTTTTTTGAAACATTACTTTGGAAAAGTTTTCCCCTAACAAACGTAGCATTCTACCACTCTAAATGTACAAATTTGTGGAAGTGTTAAAATATTCAACTTTTAACTGTTCTCAAACATCCTATCAGAATATTTGAACATAAAATTACTTATTCAAATTAATTTTGGATCTGAAATAAGTATTGTTAAAATTAATGATTAAATATCATAAACATTATTGTATGTTAAAATATTTGTCAATTGCCTACATTAGGCCGTATTTTTAACTATGTCAAACAAAAAATGCAATTTTTTGTAAACCACAACTAGGGGAAAACGACCAATTGTTGTGGTAGTCCCTATTATTGCGGTATTCGATTAAATATCGATTTTGACGTAGGACTACGTTTTTGATTTCTATATGGGGGTACACTTTGTGAAAACCGAAAATGGAACATGTAACAAATTAAGAAAGATTTTGAACGTAATTAACTCAGCTCTCCCTGGTTCAATTTCAATAAATTTATCACCAATCGATCAGAAATATGGCTACGCATCGATATACGAGATACGCGCATTTCGTCTACAATGTGCAAACTTCTTCAGTGTCTTGTACTAATACTCGACTGAGTATTAGTACAAGACACTGAACAAGTCTGCACATTGTAGACGAAATACGCGTATCCGTCAAGGATAAGCAAATAATGTAGTGGAATTAAATGAAAAATAATAATCCTTCTCTCTCTCATTATAACGAAAGGCTGCCTGCAAGCAGTGAGCTGCAGAACCCAAATAAGCAACCATCAAAGGAGGAAGAAGCTGCACCGCTATGCTAGGATTTGTTTTACTTCATATTTCACAAAATTGCTTTCGAGTGTTAAGACATCGTCTCCCGCAAAGTTTACATTGTTCCCTCTACCATCACGTACATCAGGGCTAGATAGATCTCCACAGGATCTATAGAATCCACGCAATTTCAAAAAAACCAAAATGCACAGCATTACGAAAAGAGGTCAGGTTTCAACCAATAGCAGATAGATTTTAATTCTAAACAAGCCAAACGATTGGAAATTTATCTACCAATCTGCTAAAATGAACACTTAGTTAATTTTCAATAGGTCACTATTGAAAAATACCAAATGTCCAACTGTTGAAATGGTGATCAAAATTATCACCAAATGTCTGAAAACAGCGCATTCCCTAACACAGACTTAAAAATCGAATTGGATGCGGTCCCACTGAACGGTGCTCATTCAATCACCGTAAGTGGTGGTGTCCAATCCAGCAGCAGCAGCAGCAGGAGTGCTTTCAACAACAACAACAACAACGAAAGGCTGCCTACAAGCAGCGAGCTGCAGAGCTCATATGAGCAACCATAGAGAAGGAGGAAGAAGACATTTGTCAAGGTCATCAGTTCCCGCAAGCAGCTAGCTATCAATGCTCAACCTGGTCTCTATAGAAGGTGTGGAATTGTAGGCCCGAATGTATTGGTGAGATTAATCATCGTCCGATCATTTTCCAGAACACGCTGGTAGGAAGTGTTAAAAATCCATATAGAATTTGAGAGAAGTGGGAATAATTCGCTTTGGGTGTATATTCAGTCCCAGAAAGCCAATAAAATCAAATTTGTGAGAAAATTAGCTCTCACGAGTTCAATCGCTCGAAGTCCCTCCTTTTTTACATATTCTGCACAAACGATACTTTCCGCCCCGCCCCATTCATATAATTCGGAAGGAAATCCTGTGAGGGGTGAATTGAATACACTTTAATACCAAAATGCACAAAACATAAAAATTCATAAATAACAAAAAAATCAAAATACACCTTTTAAAGTCGGGTAGATGAATCGAAAATACTCAAGTTGACAGTCCCTTGGATTCTCTTCATCAACTTTCTCTTTGAAATAGATACTACAAATTTGATACGCTTACAAATAAAAAACGGAAAGAGTTAAGATAATTGATGAGTGATCAATTAAAAGAACTAAATGTTCACATTTGTTCCGTCCACTAGCGGTCCTACGTCGAACTTCCGTTCGTGCCCCTAGGCACAGACCCTTCTACTTTTTTTTCCGAAAATTCTCGGTACCTTGGAGGCGAAAATTGATGGGAATCAAAGTTCATTTCAATTAAAAGCATTGTTCGATGAATAACTTTGAAATTTGATGAATTTAGTCCCCTTATGAACACTTTTCCATAAAGAGCCATTGTGAGTCTCCATTTTTTACTGATTCGTTACTTTGAGAAAGAAAATAGCTAATCATGAGATTTGGTATATAGAAGCTCAAAAAATATAATAAGGTGCTATTTTGTTTCCAAATGCATGTGACTATATGATGGATATTGATTTTATGAATAAAATGATTGATTTCTGCAGTAAATTCTTTACCTCAACAATAGGCTCACAGAAAGAACATTTTGCATATTACTGCGGCATGTGTTCATCTTATTTGAAAATCTATACTTCACTAGATATAAGAGATTTATCCATCCTAACATATTAAATTTTCCTAAATTATACCTGTTTTATGACGTCAGTTCACTAATACATTGAAATGCTAATTTTCTACGCACTTCAATTGTGTTAATCTTGTATGTTTACATAGTTGAACCCGGTCTGTCATATTTTCATTTACAAAACAGTGAAAGTAAGATACCAATCGGAATGAATTCTGACAATATAGTGAGAATACTTCGGAACAAAACTAATAACAGTGAAGAAACGATGCACAAATGCATCGAATCGGTGAAAGCTGGCGGAAAATCCGTTTGCAAGGCATCTCAATTGTATGGTGTTCCGGAGTCTTCGATTCGATTTCGCTTGAGTGAAAAGTGGTCCCCCAACTGTGCTCTCAACTGATGAAGAAGGAACATTGATTTCATGGATAAAGGAACTGGAACGTAAAGGATTTCCTATCGTGAAAGAGGCTGTGTTTTTAAGGATCAAGAGATTCCTCGACGAAGACCAAAGACCAAATCCAAACAAACACAATGCTCCTGGTAAATTTTATTTAAGGTGTTATATTTTAATAGTATAATTAATCCCTATTTAATGTTTTCATTGCAGGCCTGAAGTGGTTCAAATTTTTTTTTGAAATGGCATCCGGTTTCGGATTGGCGTGGTTAAAATGATGGTGAAACACTAACATTGCTGCACTTCGGACCAGTCCTTCAGAATGCTATGAAGAGTGGAATTAAGAAAGAGAGCATCATAAATGATTTCAGAGTGTGCGGTTTGTACCCATTCAATGTCGAAAACGTGGATTTTAGCAAATGCATAGCCAAAGCGTACTCGTCTGTACTATCAGTAAGCTACATAGCTACAGAGAGTGAAAATGTTTCGATAAATTCATCACCAGCTCAGCCAGGTACCATTTTTCCAACTTCGAATAATTCGATTGAGATCATTGAAGATACTCCAGTTATGCTGATTTCATCTCTTTATGTGAAAGAATCAGTCTGGATCCCGTGTACTACGATTAACGAAGCTGTGGAGAGTATCGAAACCGCTCGCTTACATCGAATAATGTCAACGACGGATCTGACTGAGGATCAACAAGTCATACGATCGCTTTATGAGAGACTCCTCAAGCCATTTCATTACCAAATTCCACAGACGTTAGAAATCCCTACCTTGGACGGTGATCCTGTTGACTTGAACGACGAACAAAGAGAAACTGAACTTGTCGAGTTATCAATAGGTAGGTATCTAGCATTTTTAGATTTATAGCATCTTATTTCCATGGAGATATTATTTTTCAGATACATTACCAATGGCCGAAGATGACCCCGTCGGATTTGAAAACGACGGACCAATTGGAATTGATTCACCTGATGTGTCTAACGTATGATAATACTTCGTCAACGCTAACGTCCCTAACTGATCCTAAATCGAGTTACGTTTTGAAGAACATTGCCAATGTGCTGAATGAAACTATTGACAACCCGTCATTTGAGCAAGCCCAGAATATTCATCATTCTCTTGTTCAGAGTGAAGATAAAAGATTGACATTGAAGAGAAAGACGAGTATATCATCCTTTTTGCAGTGTGCCGCAACTCCGAAGTGTGCAAAGACACATTGAAATTACAAACGCCAGTCTTATCCAATCCTAACAGCGAGAGAGAGAGAGAGAGAGAGAGAGAGAGAGAGACTTAATGAACTTCAACGAATTGAGTCTGAAAAGCAAAATGCTATTCTTGAGAAGAAAGCAAAAGCTGATCAACGAGCAAGAGCTAAACTTGAAGCTGAAGAGTTGAAAGAAGCCACCAAGGAACGAAAACGTGAAGAAGCATTACTGAGAAAAGCTGAGTGCGAAAATTTGCGGAAGGCCGGGATTGGTAACCGGAAGCAAAAACGATCGGCAAAATAAAGCGTTTGACGAACCAATGCAATAATATGAATTCTGTATAACTTTTCTCTTTCTGATAAAATGCGAATGTTTTGAAATAAAAATAGTAATAAAATAAAATAAGCAACCAGTTTCTCCTCCAGATTCTTGAAATATATAAACATAAATCCAGGGAATGTCAGACTAGTTGGTACAGAATTCTGGAGTTATTTATCAATGAAAATTAGAATCATTCATATTTTATTGCTAAGCGCTTACTATGGGTTTTAATAAGTTTTCAAGCATATTCTTATTTACTGCGAATGTACCTCTAAAACGAATTCTTTTTTGCAAGTTCTACACCGATTTGATTTTACTGTCGCAAACAATAATACCTACCACGCTACCACTCAATTTTCGATCAAAAGTATATTTTGTCAATACACGTGATTTAAGATATGTAGTCCAATGTCACCCCATCTGGCGATACCGTATAATGCTGATCGAATTTAAAAAACATGATTGCCGTGTCCACGATTTTTTTTTTAATCTTAGGCCGGAACAAATATCAAGCTTTTCTTTTGTCACCCACCCCTTCAAAATTTTGGAATATCACCAAGGGGAAATAAAATAAAACTTTCAGTGTATAATTATTTTTCGCAAATTCATTTAGGTATGGATACTCGCTTGCTAGATTTTATTATGTTGTTGTTGTTGTTGTTGAGTTTTTTTTAATTTAAAGCAAACGGTAAATGAGTATACGCGTATTTCCAGGCACAGTAGAACTTTAATGGACCACGTTTATTCCAATTAGCTCCCTTAGCTCAGTCGATAAAGGCGCAGCTACAAAGCAAGATCATGCTGGAGGTGACTGGGTTCGATTCCCGGTCAGGTCTAGGAATTTTTCGGGTTGGAAAATTTCTCGACTTCCCTGGGCATAGAGTATGATTGTACTTGCCACACAATTATACTAATGCAAAAATGGTACAGGCATCGAAAGCTCTTAATTAATAACTGTGGAAGTGCATCTAGAACACTAAGTTGAGAGCACGCAATAAGCTAATATGCCATACGCAATAAGCTTTAAATGCGAAGAAGAAGAAGAAGTTATTCCAATTTTGATTCCATTTGTTCAGTTACGGATACTGATTTGAAAATAACCGATCATGAGACTTTAGTGATTAATGTCTTAGACCATGTTAACGATAACGATAATTTTGTAAAATTGAAGTGCTGGAGGAAATATTCGATGCAAGCTGTTTCGAATCTTGTTGGGAGAAGCCTGGATTTTCCATTCGCGGCCGGTAACTTAGATGAATCTACAGCTGTTCTTAATAACGCTTTGAAAACGTGTACCAATCAACTAGTTGAGCAAAAGTTTGTTTCTTTGAAAAACTCGAACAGCTGGTACAATTTGGATCTTTTGCGTCTTAAACGGAAAAGGAACAAATGGTACAAAAAGATTTGTAGATCTAATAATGACAATCATTGGACTAGGTACACAATCGCGCGTATTAAGTATTCACAATCGATAAAGAAAACTCGTTGTGAATATGTTAAAAGGAAGATTGATCAGCATCAAAACAACAGCAAAGAGTTATGGAAAATTTTGAAATCTTTATTAAAACCTAGTAATTGCAAACCGCGGTCCATAACATTTAATGGCACATTAGAACAGTCAGAACAAGTAATAGCAGCTAAGTTTAATGATTATTTCGTAGATAGCGTTTCATTGATTAATCAATCTATTGAATTGGTCGATGAACCTGACGAAATAAAACAGCCAGTTAATAGTAGTTGTAGATTTGAAGTTTTTCACCCAATCACATTAGATGAACTTAGAGTTATTTGTTTTTCATTAGGAAAATCGGCTGGAGTAGATAATGTTAATGCTAGAGTAATTCAAGATTGCTTTCATGTCATTGGCCACATCTTGCTGGACCTTATTAATGAATCATTACAAACTGGACATGTGCCACAAATTTGGAAGGAATCTTTAGTGGTCCCTATTCAAAAAGTTGCTGGAACGATTAAACCCAAAGAGTTTCGTCCCATCAACATGTTGCACACATTAGAGAAAATTTTAGAACTTGTTGTTAAAGGCCAGCTGTTGGAGTATTTAAATAGTAATAGTTTGTTGATATCAGAACAATCGGGATATCGGGAAGGTCATTCTTGCGAAACCGCGTTGAATTTGGTATTAGTGAAGTGGAAAAATAACTTGGAGTGTAAAGATACGATTGTTGCTGTTTTTTGGATCTTAAACGCGCTTTTGAAACAATTTCTAGGCCCTTATTGTTAAGATCAATCAAGCGCTTTGGAATTACGAGTACTGCATATAAATGGTTTGAAAGCTATTTGTCTGGCAGAATTCAACGGACTGTTTTTAATGATTCAGTTTCCAGTCCCGTGGGGAATACCCTTGGAGTGCCCCAGGGAAGTGTATTAGGGCCCCTGTTATTTATTATGTATATTAATGACTTGCGACGTGTTTTACGATTTTACGACATTAATCTTTTTGCAGATGATACTGTGTTATTCATTGCAGCTAAGGATTGAGATGATGTCGTTTTACACTTGAATGAAGATTTGCGTTCTCTAAGTAGATGGTTGAAGTATAAGCAGTTAAAATTGAATACAAGTAAAACTAAATTTATGGTAATTTCGCGGAATCGAGTAAATGAGAACGTCTCTGTTGTAATTGATGATGAGACTTTTGATCGCGTTCGGGAGATTAAATATCTTGGCGTGATTATTGATGACACACTTAAGTTCAACTCTCACATTGACAATGTCATCAAGAAAATTGCCAAGAAGTATGGAATTCTATGTCGACTGAAAAACGATTTAACTATTGCCAGTAAAATACAGCTATACAAATCAATCATCTCTCCTCATCTTGACTTTTGCCCTTCCATTTTATTTCTGGCCAATGCAACACAAATATCGAGATTACAGCGCTTGCAGAATAAAATAATGCGTTTGATTTTAAGATGTAATAGATTCACTTCCTCAACTTTGATGTTAGACGCCTTACAATGGTTGTCGGTGAAGCAAAGAATTGTATATTCGACTATGGTGTTCATTTTTAAGGTAGTTAACGGTTTGCTGCCTCGATATTTGTGTGATCGAATTGAAATAGGAAGTGACTTTCGTAGATATAGTACTAGAAACGCGGTTGAAATAAGAACACCACATTTCTTGACTTTTGCTTCACAAAATTCATTATATTATAAAAGAATAAATGTTTTCAATTCGATGCCTAGACATATCAAACGTTTAGCAACACTTACAGAATTTAAAAGGCACTGCATTTCACACGTTAAAACTGTCTTTTGAACAGTTATCCAGTGTTTTTTTTTATGAATTGACAAATTATGTATCTTGACGAAGTTATCTCTAACGGATTATTTTATATGGATAGCTTTCATGACGACTTTTTAATAATTATTGTAGCACTGCAAAAACTATTTTTGTTCGCCACGAGGATGATGATGGATTTTTAATATTTGATTTAATAGTAGATTAATTAAAACAAAAGTAGTCTACAAAGGTTTGAGCCTCGCGCGCGTATTACGGATATAGAGGACTGAAATTAACATTTGATATAAAAAAATGCAATTTTTAAGCTTATTTGAAAGATACCTTGAGTTAGTAGTAAGTTTTCTGGCAAATGTTAGGGGCTCGTGAGCATTCCTGACATTGCTGAAAATTATGATAGCATCAGATTGCGAAGTTGCTAGTGTAATAGGATGCTTTGTTGATTGTTCATTAACTCTTGATTGCTTGTAATACTTATGAATATTTTAGGTGGACAAAAATGCGAACTAAGAGGTGGATGCCTGAGCTTTTCCACATTTATATCGCTGTAAAGTAACTGTAAACTCTAGAGGGAATTTATATCTGTAACTGAAACCAGTTCGATTTTGTTTGCCAACCTGGTTAAATTGTCATATTCAATTATCTTAAAGATAAATCGTCCAGCTCAAACCTTTGTTGGGGTAAGAGGTGGGACCATCATCATCATTGTTGTTGTATCACCTTGTTCTTTTAAAGAATTTTCACATAAATTTGTACTAGACCAGAACGGCATGACAGGTCCTTGAAATCGGATCAGCCGTTTTCAGTTGTTGAAAACGGATTTTATCGAACATCATTCCTAATCTTGTTTGGCAACTCACTAGGTAAGCCACCTTCAATCTGATCGATCCCTCTTGTTCGTTGCGCACATCTTCGTCTTGTCCCAGTCGGATCACTACAAAGAACCATTTTCAGTGGGTCGTTATCCGACATTATTACGATGTGCCCAGCCCACCGTAGTCACCAGATTTTTGCATTCGATCTACATTTCTTAACTCACAAACCTTCTACAATGATACTTAATGATTCACTTATTTACTACAGTGATTCAACAATTTCCGAGCTAAATCCAATCTTTTAAAAATTGGTTTAAAATTTTTAGAAGTGAGACCAAATAAGCAACGATTCAGGAAATTCCTAAATGAGGTGACACTTTTCAAAGCAGAATCAAAACTTTTTTGAAGTGATTTCAAACTTTCGAATAAGTCATCACTATTTTTATAACTGAGTCTAAACTTTTCTTTTATGTTATTAAATCATTTTTAAAGTTGTCAAAACTTTCCTGAAGTGATTCAACATATTCCAAATCCAATCTTTAAAGAATTGGTTTCACATTTTCTGAAGTTAGGCAACATTAGCTGATTAATCCTTTTCCTAAATGATTCAAAGGTCTCCTGCATTGATTCAACTTTTTCCGAACTGAACTAGTCAGAACGGATTTGATATTTTCCTAAGTGAGCTCCAGATTTTTGTTAACTGCTTTGGCATTTGGCAAGGACACAATCTTGCTTAGTGAAAGTGTAGAAAGTTTTCCGAAGTGAACCGACAATTTTTTTAGCTTAAATTTTCCAAATTGTGTCCAACCTTTTCTGAAGTGGTTAAAAACCTTCCTTAGGGAGTCCAAACTTTTCTGTTGAGTGATTAAATTATATTGAATGTTAGTCTGAGCTTTCCTGACGTGATTTACCTAACCTTTAACGTAGATTCCGCTCCCTTAGATCCCTTCCTCGTTCTTGTGAGATTCACATCCTTTGAAAATTAGTCTGAGATTTTAAATAATGGACCTTCGTGTGTTACCTGATGGTAGATTTTTTTTTAAAGCAAGCACAATTGTTGAGAAAACTGGGTTTACATCCACAAAAGTACGTATTTTTATAGAAATTTGGGTTTCTTGATCAGCCAAGTTGGATTTTGGCTCCGTCCTTTGAAAAACAGGCTTGGATGTTATGGAATAGACCTTTGTGAGTTCATACGTGATGGTAGATTTTTTTTTGAAGCCAGGTTGGATTCCCGAGTAGCACACTTTCATCACAATAAGTTACAGCAACTTGTTTATGACCGAAATAAGTCGTATATAAGTTTCAACAATTGATTTGTGACATGCGTGCTACTAGGGTTTCGGTTCAATCTTTTGAAATTTGTACTTGGATTTTATAGAATGGAACTTGCTGATTAACGAAAGGACGAACCTGGTTAATATTCACAAAAGAAGGTATTTTCATAGAAAATTAATTTTTCTGTTTTTCCGAACTGAATTTTGGCTTCTACCTTTGAGAAATAGGCTTGTATATTAAAAGAAGTTGCTGAATCCATACGTAAGGGTTGAATTTCTTCAATTTTTGAGAATACCGAGTTTAAATTCACAAAAGTACGTATTTTCATAAAAACTTTGATTTTCTGTTCTGCCAAGTTGAATTTCGACTCCGATCTTTGAAAATAGGCTTGAATTTTATAGAATGGACTTTGCTGAATCCATACGTGATGGTAAATTTTTTGAAGCATGCACAATTTCTTAGAAAACTGGGTTTGAATTCTCAAAAGTACGTATTTTTATAGAAATTTGGGTTTCTTGTTGAGCCAAGTTGAATTTCAGCTCCTTTCTTTGAAAAATAGGAGTGGATTTTACCGAATTGCTGAATCCATGCGTATTTTCATAGAAATTTGGTTTTTCGGTTCTGCCAAATTGCATTTTGGCTCATATCTTTGACAAATAGGCTTGTATTTTTTAGAATGCACCTTGCCGAATCCATACGTGAAGGTTGAACCGGGTTTGTAATTCGAAAGGTTTTTTTTTTGTTTTCCTTTTCTGCTAAGTTGGATTATGATACTATCCTTTAAATGTTATGCTTAGATTTTATAGAATTGACCCTGCTGAATTCATATATGATGATTATTTTTTAAAGCACACCTAAAGCCAGGTTTAAATTGACAAAACTACGTATTTTTGTTAAAATTTGGTTTTTATGTTCAGCCAAGATGGATTTTGGCTCCTTTCTTTGAATATTACGCTTGGATTGTGTTGAATAGATCTTCCTAAATCCATACGTCTAGTTAGATTTTTTGAAGCACGAACAATTGTTGAGAAAACTGAGTTATATTTGGATAGGGAGGAAGTATCGAAAACAGAACTTTTTTTCATAAGAACTGTTACGTTTGTGGTATTCCGCTTGATGGTTTATCCGGGATTTATCAATTCCCATAAATCAATTGCTTTGATCCTATTAATCTACATTATTACCAATGTTCTTCCTTGAAAGGATACAAAAACTTATGCGTGAAATGTCTTGTTGATAACTCGAGTGTTACGCATAATAAAGTCAACATTTGTGGCATTAGTGTCAAAAATCACGGCTTCAAAGAAGTTAAAGGCTAAGCCGGAGGCTAAGAAAAAATGTTAGCGTTTGAAATAAACGGTTTAGATATAATGTAAAACGAATTTTAAATGTTTTATGTTTTTTTTTTGTTTTTTTTTATCCCCCCCCCCCTTGACTGGTGCGAGCATCGAGTGACAAAAGAAACACTTGTGATTTGTTCCGGCCTTATTGAAGTCAAAAAATGTGCTTCATTCCCATACCACAACAATAGGACAGAACTACCACAATAATAGGACAAAATACCGCAACAATGTAGCTTAGTGTTGGCATTGGATTTATTTAAAAATAAATGAATATAAGTGCAAGACACGGTTTATTTTGTCATAATTTTTTAGATATTGAACCATTTTAGTCTCTCACTATGAGTTTCCACTCAAATTCACTACTCTGATTTTCAAAAACACACTTGAGATCCCAACTCTGCGCTTAGTTCCTCCATAATAGAGCAAGTTATCCTATTATTGAAATGATAACATCAAATTCTTCTTTAGTGTACACAAATCAATTCATACTTGGTGAATTATGAATTTTGTATTGCAAAATCTACAGGATCAACTTCATGCCAGATGCATTTAAAATCTAATTTTAAATTTAAAAAAAATTAACTTAGTAGGGGAAATGACTCTAATATTGGTCCATGGATCTAAGATTGGGCCCATGGCTAAAAATCTGCTATTTATCAATTTTATCTAGATGAACGCGTAATTGAGACGGTACTAAAGGATATTTTTGGTCACTTTTGAAAATTTATTCGATTGCTGAATTTATGTTTGGGCCCAAATTAGGGGCATCTAGGCCGACATAACATCCATTTTTATCTAGATGCAATTTCAATTTTCCCTATGCAATTTCAAAACGAAATTCGTAAATTAAAAAAGCATTTGCTAGAACATGTTTGAGTGGCATTTGTTTGTGTTCCAAACATATGGTTGCAAAAATATTCAGGTCTATCGATTAAAAGTGATCAACTTCCCCATGGTTAACGGTACTATTTCACAGAGAAATATGATGAGCGAATTCAGTGGCAAAGAAGTCAATAGTCCGGTAGCCGATAATAAATCTTCTTGATTTATTTATAGCCATTGAATCCAAATCACCCGATGAATAGAGAAATATATTTTTGAACTAAGTCGAAACTCTAAAACGCACTAAGATTTTTCAATACACGGCCACCGTGATGTTTGATATTCATGATTAATGATCTTCACCAATCAATCCACAACTCAACAATAAAATGTAACCAAAATCAAGTTACAACATTTTACATTTCTCGCGCTCCAATTACAACATGAGCTCTATTTCCGATTGACAAATGAACCATATAAAACCGAATTCATCAAATGGTGGTGGTGACATCTCTCACGGAATGGAAACTCCCCGCCGGGTTTATTCCATCATCGTATCGTCGTCGTCATCGGACCCCCTTGACGATCGATTAATCAACTCTAATCGCTCCAAATTTAACACTCCATTTTATGACCGTTGTCTCATTATTTGAAAAACTAAAGCGTCGGCCTTCATGTCACGAAAAAAGCATCAACCCTCACTGGGAGACCTCCAACTGAGTCAACGTCGTGAGTCGGATGGACCCAATTAAAGTGGATATTCATCAACTCGAGCAGCTCAAATCTTGTTCAAACAAAAAGCTAACCCCTAATGTCACCTCACCAGCACTCGTTGGCATGTCGTTTTCACCCGTATTAATTATCACCGTCACCATCTGAAGCCATTATCGCTTCATTGTTCTGTGCTCACCTCAGTTTGGACAGTTGCTGTTGAATAATGTCCCCTTGTTCCAGAATCAGTTTCATGAGGCGCTCGATCGAGTTCTTGGACGACTTTGGATGGATCGTCGTGCCGTGAGTCATCCACGCGAAGGACGTTTTCGACGCTCGGTGACGCTTCCGGCGCACTATTGCACTGTTTATGCTCCCCGTGGGGCTCCCACGGCCACTGTCTTTGTCGCGCTCGGTGGGCAACCCGAGCACGCCCCCCGTCGTGGGTGTCATTGACATTCCATGCGACCCATCCGTCTTGCGGAGGATGAATTTTACCTGCAAAATAATTGGAATTTAAACCTTCTGTTGATCGAAGATGATTTATGATACTACCTCTGGTTGTGCTTTTCCCCAAGCAGACCAAATCTGGAGGATCTTCGTCTTGCCGTCCAAAACCTGCTCCACTTGTCGCCACCGCTCCGTTATGCAATATTCCTTCGTTTCCGTTGCATTCGATCCTGCCGCCAAGTTTTCCTGCTGAATCAACGCTTCGATGAGATCTCCGCACGTCGTTTCTTCCGTCACCCCGGAGATAAACCTCTGCTCCCCCTTGATCCACACTGGGACTTCCTCCGTTGAGAAATCGCTAACCGTCCCACATGAGTCATCGTCGTCACTCTGGGACTCCTGTTCATCTTCATCTTCATCTTCGTCGCTTATAATTTCACTAGTCATCCGTGGTGCCATCAGCGGATGGTTGCTGGGCAGTACCCAGCATTCTTTGGATTTGCTGTAGACGCCATTGACAGGCATCTCCACAGGACCTACCGCGGCCATTGAAGCGATCGCCGCCGTCGATGCACCCGTGGCCAAAGGTCCATGACCAGCTGCGGCGCTGCTGCTGCTGCTGCCGGTGAGACGATTGACGGCGGCCTGAGCGGCGATGTTCATCGTTGTTGCTCTAATTGCTGCTTCCTATAATCAGACCAAGCGATGCAACTGGTCCAATCCGTAAGGATGGACATGATAACCGGTGCGGCGAATGGTGGTGGTTTTCGCTGCTACGATGCGCTGAAAGGGAAAATTGGGGAAATGGAAAAAGAAACGATAATTTGAGTATCGGTTCACAAGATTAAGACGGAGATGGAGGCGATAAATAAGGGGAAGTCGAAAAAAGAACTAAACTCATATCGTGACGATAATTGCGTCCGACTGCGTCGACGTGGGTTATGCAACAGGTGCAGTTCATTCAAAAAAAAACAAGGGAGTACGATGAGTTTCTTTTGTCAGAGAGGCATTGCACTGAAAGGGTTTTTTATTATTGACGAAGCAATATTTTACATACATTCTGATACTTTGGCAATACCATTGCGTTATACCTTATGTATAAGTGAATCAAACCAATGATTCTGCTTGTGATTATAATAATCTTAGCATTATTTCCTTAAACAGCATTTAATGATCTGTAACTTCTTCTCAGGCATCATTTTGATCAAATATTAAAGCAACCAGGTGTCAAATATTATTAAAATTTCTGACCTTTGAACAAATGTAGAGATTTGAAAATTTTCCAGGATCATTGTGTCAAAATTGTCAAAATTATACACTGAACCAATGGGAAACGTAATTTTTCTCGTACGTAATTCAATTCAGGCCACCTCTCCAAAATACCAATAAGGTTCACGTGCCACACATAAAATTCAATGACAAGGTAAAGAATTTCACCGGATTCACTAGTCCAGTCCACATTTCATGCTGATGAAAGTTAAGTGACATTCACGTAAGTTTTACGTGATTTCATGGTATGAAAATTTCTCGTCGAATTCGTAATTCAAAAATGGTGATAGAATAATTAAAGAAGAACAAGCATAAGGAGAGTGGAACCGCAATTGGAGCAAACCAAAAACATGGTGGATAGTAAGAAACGCACAAAGGCTACGGAGAAAACAAAGATGATGGAAAATTAGATACTGAAGAGATAGAAGAAGTAAAGGTGAAAAAGACATGAAAACAAGAGATGAAATGCAATTGTCAAGTAGACGACGAACCAGAACCAGAAGAAGAGGAAACGAGCATAGGAGACAAAAGCTAAGTGAAATTTTAGTTGTATTATAAACACTAACACTCACACCCACACACTTTTACACTCAAACACTAAAACAGACACGAATGTATGCGCTGGATGTAAAATTACTTAAAACAAAGAACAATAACCAGCCCTGTTGAAGTCACTTTACCACAGTTTAGTTCACTCGGGACTTGTCCGGGAAGAAGCAAATATAACATAATCCAGTTACCCAGTTTAAAAGTGTCCTATCTTTATTTATTTATTTATTTATTAATTTATTTATATATTTATTTTTTTATTTATTTACTTATTTATTTATTAATTTCATTATCTACTTTTTTCTATTAATTTTTTTTTATTTATATAGTTGCTTATTATTTTTTTTTAGATTTTTTAAATTTTTATTTATTTAAATGTCTATTTATTTATCTACTAATTTATTTATTGAAAGATTTATTCATGCATTAATTTATTTATTTGTTAATTTATTTATTTTCAAAAGAATAATAATTAAATAAATTATATATTTTTTTAGTTATTTATTTATATATTCAGGGGAATTTACGTATTATCGTCAATCTTAGCAGCTTCCGCACTTCTATTAGCATTTTCTCAGTGTCACGCACGTGTCTGTTTGTGTCTGTTTGTTTGCATTCATCTGCTGCTAGCTATTCTATCCATTCCAATCAACAAAATTGTCCAAAACGGTTTGAAAACGTTTTTAAGGCACTCCAAACTTCTCAGGTGAGAGTGACTATTGTCGGCAGCCTCTTTTACTTCGGCAACCTTTCCATTTAAACTGCGTGCTAACCAGCTGTTCTATTATCAGCAACTCGAAATCAGCCGTATTTTGATGTGCTTATGTTTGTTTTGAAGAAACACCTGGCATAACAGGTTTGCTCAGTCGTAAAAATGTATTAGGATTGAAGCTGAAAGACTAAGGAATCGTTTAAACACATTCAGCGAAGTGTTTAAGTGAAAAAATACATCGAAATTAACGTTTAAATTATGATTGCCGAAAACAATCGATGGCTGCCGAAGCCATCATTAACCCTATTTATTTTCATATTTATGTATTTAGTTTTTTTTTATGTATTTAATTTTTAATTCTCTTATATTTTTTTTATTTAAATTTTCTTATATTTTTTTTTAATTCGTAATGGATTAATTGATTTATTTACTATTTTATTTATTTATTTATTTATTTATTTGTTATTTTTTATTTTTTTATTTATCTATTTACTAACTAATTTATTATTTTTTTAAATTTATTTAAGTATTTTTTAATATGTTTATTTTTTTTTATTTTTTTTTTATATATTTATTATTATTTTTTTTATTTATATATTTATTAAGGTATTTATTTAATTATTAATTTAAATATTTTTTCTCATTTTTTTTTATTTTATTATATATGTATTATTATTTTTATTTTTTGTAATTAATTATTTATTTATTGATTTATTAATTTATTAATTTATTTATTTATTAATTTATTTACTTATTTATTTATTTATTTATTTATTTTTTTCAGTTTTTTATTTATTTATTTGTTTTTAATTTTAATGTTTTTTTTTGTTCTTCTTAAACATTTTTATATTGATTTATTGGTTCATTTTTTTTATTTATTTACTCATTTATTTATTGGCGTTCTTATTTATTTATTTATTTTTTTATTTGTTTACATATCAATTATGTAAACATCTTTTATTAGATTAATTTAATTATTTTTTTTAATTATTTATATCTCTGCAAACTTATTTATCAATTATTAAGTTTATTTATCATTTTATTTACTTAATATTTTTTTCTATTATTAATTTACTTATTTAGTCATTGAATTATTTATTTATTTATTTATTTTTTATTATTTTTTTCTTCTTTAGTTATTTATGAATTAAATTATTTATTTATTAATTTATATTCTTAGTTTTAATTAATGTTTTTTTTATTCATTTCCTAATTTATTTTTTATTTATTTAATTATTATTTTTATTTTTTTTTATTTATTCTTTGACTTTTTATTTTTGTTTATAAATTTATTTATTCATTCATTTTTTCATTAATTTATTTTGTTATTTGTTTAATTATTTATATACTTATTTATTAATTTGTTTTCCTATTTTCATATATTTTATCATTTTTTTTATATTTTTTTTTTCCTTTCTTTCTTATTTATCTGTTTATTTATTTATTAATTTATTTATATATTTTTGTATTAGTTAATTTATTAATTTATTTATTTGTTTTATCAATTTTATTTTATTTTTTTGTTTTTAAATCATTTACTTTTTTATTTATTTATTCATTTATTTATTTTTTCATTCATTTATTTAGTTATCTATTCATTTAAGGGGAAGCTTACCAGCCCGGAAATAAAAAAAAAATTATGTACGTTTTTAATTTTCCAAAAATATTGGGAAAAATTATCACAAATCCAAGAAAATCAGTTTCTTCCTTAGATTTTTGTCAAAAATAACATATAAAAATATTTTTTCTGTATCATCATGAAAAAAAATTGGACTCTCAGAAAAACCGAAAAGTCGATGTTTTGTGGTTTTTTAAGTCCAACATGACTTATAAAAAAAAAAATTTGCACGTGAGTTTTCTTTGAAAAATTAGAAAAAATGTGATGGTTTTAGATTTTTTGATACCTTATTTCAATATTTTTAGAAAAATCAAAACGTAATTATTTTTTTTCGGAGCGGTGAACTTCCCCTTAAGTACTCATTTATCGATATATTTTTTTTACATTAAGTTATTGAATAAATGATTAATTTATTTTGGTTTATATATATATATATTTATTTCATTATTCAATAATTGATTTTTTTTTAAATAATTATTTATTTATTGCTTTATTGATTTATTTTTGTTTATATTTATTTATTTATTAATTAAGTTATGTCTGTATTTAATTATTTAGTTTAAATTTATTTATTTATTGATATATTCATTTATTCATTCTTTTTTTATTAAATGTTTTACTTTCTGTATAAAATAAAATTGTTTTTTTTTATTTAATAAATATATAAAAAAATTAAAATATCAATAATCAAATCAATAAATCAATAAATTTATTAATTTATTAATTTATTTATTTATTTATTTCTTAATTCAAAGATTGGAAAGAGACCAGAGTAAATAAATGAATAAATAAATAAATAAATAAATAGATAAATAAATAAATAAATAAATAAATATATTTAAATTTATAAATTAATACATAAATAAATAAATAAATAAATATATAAATAAATAAATAAATAAAAAGATCAATTAATAAATAAATAAATAAATAAACAAATAAAAAAATAAATAAATAAAAAAATAAATAAATAAATAAATAAATAAATAAATAAATAAATAAATAAATAAATAAATAAATAAATAAATAAATAAATAAATAAACTAATATATGAATTAATAAAAAAATAAATTAAAACATAAGTAAATAAATGAATAAATAAATAAATGATAAATAAATAAATAAATAAATAAAAAAAAAATAAAAAAATAAGTAAATAAATAAATAAATAAATAAATAAAATACATAACTTAATAAACAAATAAATTAATAAATAAACAAATAAATAAATAATAAAATAAATAAAATAATAAATAAATCAATAAATGAATAATTAAATAAACATGTATATAAAAGAATAAATTATAAATAAATATTTCTTTATGTTTAACTAATTGATTTATTTATTTATTTACTTATATCCAACTCGAATTATCGAACGGAATAAGTTTTTTGCTTCTAGAATCTCGAGAAAATAGGGTTTTATTCGTGCTCTCAAAATAAATCTGCACTTTGTTTATCTATTTTTCTTCAAATCTAGGTTCGATAACTGTCTCAAAACTGCTCGAAGTAAGAACTGTGTAAAGAATAATGGTTTCAAAATTCCTGCACGTTGAAGTATAAGAGAGAATTTTTTAAATGCTTGTATTTTTCGAACACTACGCATTCACTACGAGGTTAAAAACTTCAAGGGCT